GGAGTCAGCTGAAGGCTTCTGTGCTGACAGGGGTGGTGGTGGATGGTGGTCAATGTTGTCTGTCAGTGAAATCTCAGCTGGGCTGTTGGCTGGAACACCTCCGTATGGCCTCTTCATGTGGCCTGAGCTTCCTAACAGCATGGCAGATGGGTTCCAAATGGGAGTGTCCCAATATGATCAGGAGGAAGCTGTACTGCCTTTCATAACCTGGCCTCAGAAGTCACAGGATGTCACTTCTGCCATAGTTGCAGTTCCCTCCAGATTCAAGAGGATGGACAATGAACCCCACCTCTCTTTGGGAGGAGTGAGAAGACCATTTGGATAGGAGATCTTATTGCAGTCATCTTGGCTAATACATTTTTTCTATGTTTTTAAAGTATGGAGGTGGTGTTCTTTTTAAAAATTATCACCCTCCTTATCACACTGCGTCAGTGTACATGGGTCATGAGTTCCTCAGGCCAGCCCTACCCTTTGCAAACCTGTTCTGACTTCCAGCTGCACTAACTTCTCCCCCTCCCATCCAGGCCCCAGGGTGTTCAACCCAGAGCCCAGAGGCCTGTGCCCTCCTGCCTTGGGTCCCACGGGGCAGGGCTCCAGTATTGTCACTGTTGTCCTCATTCCACTCTCCCACTTATCAGTACAGTGAAAATTGCTTGCAGTCTGCAGACTTGGGTGTGAATCTCAGGTCTGCCTTTACTCCTTACCATCCTCCTTCATCAAATGGAGATGAAATTCTCTTCCCCTCAGGACCACCAGGTAGGTGGAATGAGAAGTGGCAAATCACTCAGTTTATGGAGAGTTTCTAATGCTGGTGGCCAAACTGGCTTATCGCCCTCCCGCTTTGTAAAGCAGACCAAGCACCCTTTACTACTATCATCACATGCATGGTGCGCATGAGGAAAGCAGGCTTTGCGGGACTGCCAGAGTTGTCCTAGGTGTTCTCTCCACCCAGTCAGCAGCCCAGCTGCTCTGCTCCGTCTCATGTGCTGGGCATTGTGCTGGGAGCTCCATGCACAACCAGAGAGCTGCCTGTTTTCTGCATGTCGAGCACACACCATGCCAGTTTGCCTAGCCCATAGAAGAGGCTGGGCGTGGTGGCTCACACCTGTAATCCCAGCACTTTGGGAGGCTGAGGCAGGTGGATTACCTGAGTTTAGGAGTTTGAAGCCAGCATGGCCAACATGGTAAAACTTCGTCTCTACTAAAAATACAAAAATTAGCTGGGCATGGCAGTGCATGCCTGTAATCCCAGGAATCTGAAGCAGGAGAATCCCTTGAACCCAGGAGGTGGAGGTTGTAGTAAGCAGTGATCGTGTCACTGCACTCCAGCCTGGGTGACAGAGTGAGACTCCATCTCAAACAAACAAACAAAACTGAAAAGGCTTAATACAAGTGTGTTGGATGGAAGAGCTAAGTGCTTTGAGGCAAAGATGCCTCTTGGGGAGCTCTTGGGCTCTGTAAGTAACTGTTGGAGAGATCTCCCCAGAACTGGCTCCCCTAGTAGCCTCAGGCTTTGATTCACAGGCCACAGTTGCTATATGCCCAGGTCTTTTCAGGAACATGCCTGTGTCCAGGTAGGACCGTGCAGAAGCTATAATCCAGCTTTAGTCCTAAAAATGCTCATTACCTTTGTGTGGCATGCCACATTGAATCAGTTAGAGATTCCTACAAGTATCCTCAGATCCTGATTCAGCAGGGGTGTATGAGGACATCTGCATGTCAAATCTCCCAGGGAATGCTGGGCCAGCCAGGCCAGGGACCCCTAGAAGCTCCACCTCATGTAGGAGCACAGCAGCCTGGTAGAGTGGTTACAACTGTGGGCTCTAGTGCTGACAGCTGGGGTTTATTTTCTGGGTCCTGCACTTTCAGTAACTGTGGCACCTTGGCTTGTTACTTAGACATCCCGTGCCTCAGTTTCCCCATCTTTAAAATGGAGATAATGGTGGTGGTGGAATCAGGATGCTGTAACAAGGATTAAATGAGTTGCTGCACTAGAACCTCAGCTTATAGCAGGCATCCTACAAAGCAGGGTGGCTGGGTGGGGTGTCTAGTTTTTGGCTACCTCTTGTGAGTTCCTTGAGTGTTGGTTCTAACGAAGCCAGAGTCTTGGCCCCACTTGCGGGGGGAGGGCAGAAGCCTCTCTCAAACTCCCCCCCAAGACATAGATTCTTTTCTCCCTGGGAGCCCACAATTCAATGGAGACAACATAAGCCAGACATACACACAAGAAGGATTTTTTTCCAAAACACAAATGAGTGCAAAAGACAGTTTCTATGGTTACTACACACACCTTAAAAAAAAGGAGAGAGATGTATGTGTGTGCTTAACTAAACAAGACAGAACCCAAAGACAACTTTGAGATTGCTTGCAGTAGACAGGTAGGCAGAGGGAGGGTGGGAAGAGGGATGGGCTGCCCACCACATGCCCTTGGCGTGGCCTTGACCCACAGCCACTTCTATGGCTGAACCAGGAAGCAAGAAGCCTCCCGTGGTTGTCAGCCACACAGTGTCAAGGGCCAGTCCCTTCCAGGCCAAACCAGAGATAGGGATGTGATTCTCCAGTTAATTTTAGTCAGCTATGAAGTCTCAGTCCTGCTTCAGGGGTAGGGAAAGAGATCAGTATCTGTGTGGCCTGCAAACATCACACATTTCCTAAAATGTGGCATGTTCACTGCCTTGCTCTTCAGCTTCATTGGGTCAAATGAAGATTCCTTTTCCCTGGAATTGCTCTGTGACTGTCAGGGCTTTCAGAGAGTGAGAACCTCACTCGAGGATGCTGCGTATTTGTGAATTTATCTTCTCTTTAAGGTACAGGCCCCAGTTCTGGCCCTGGGCAATTTTCCTGTATTGTCTTGAGCCTGGAGCTTTCAACTTGGGTGGGTCTCAGAAATCTTATTGATTTCTGCTTCTCTGCCCTCTAAAAGAGATAATTTTACTCCTAAACGGGTTGAATCTTCTTCTGAGGATGGGCCTAAATTCTTGCTAAATATACCTGAATTAACTCTGTCACTGTCTAAATATTTGTGTGTCCCCATAAATTCCTATGTTGAAATCCTAACCCCCCAGGTTATGGTATTGGAGGTGGGGCTTTGGGGAGGTAAAGAGGTCATGAGAGTGGAGTCCTCATGAATGGGATTAGTGTCCTTATCAAAGAGGCCCAGAGCTCACTTTTGCCTCTTCTGCCATGTGAGGACACAGTGAGAAGACAGCAGACTACCAACCAGGAAGAGGATGCCCACCTTTATCTCTGACTCCTCAGCTTCTAGAACTGTGAGAAACAAATGTTTGTTGCTGAAGTCACTCAGCTTATGATATTTTTGTTATAGGAGCCCCGACTGACTAAGACAAAGTCCTTCAGTGGAGATCTTGGGAGAGCTGCACATCAACGTCTTCCCTATTTCCATTCCCTCCATTTCCTATTTTCTGCAAATTGCACACCCACTAATTCACTGGGTATCTAAGTTGCTTAATAGATAAGCCAGAGATGTGTGGCTCTCCATCAGATCCATAAAGAGTAGTGGGGGTGTAGACACGGCTCTGTGAATTCTAAGATGCTGGCATCTTTCAGGATGCCTGGACACTCCATGAGAACAACTGTGCTCTCACCTCCTGAGGTGTCCGCCTCCTTTTGCACTGTCTCATTATATTCTGAACAGCCCTGTGAGGCTGGCAGGGTGGTCACCATCCCCACTTTGCAGATGAGGAAGTGGAGGCTCAGAGGGGGTGTGCAACTGGGCCAAGGTTGTAGTGTCAGTGAGTGATGGGGAGCCACACTGCACCCAGCCTGTCAGTCTCCATGAGCCCTAACCTCTGTGGCTCTTATCTTTGTGGCTCTGCACAGAGATCATGACCATCTATGGGCTCGATCTGAGTGCGCTTAGTACAGATCTCTGCCGCTGATACTGTAAGACAGTAGATCTCAACCCTAGCTGCTCATATAAACCATCTGGGGAGCTTTAAAAATTTCCAGTGCCCTGGACTGTTCAGCAAACCATTTAACTCAGAGTCTCTGGGAGGGGAAATCAGGGATAGATGATTTTTAAAGCTCTCCAGGTGATTTCAGCAAGATTAAGAACCACACCTCTGGGCTGAATCAGCAAGAATCAGAGGCTCTCTATAGGGGGCTGTCCTTACATTTTAGTAAGCTGATTTGATTTCTGCCTGATTGATTACCCTTATAGGTAAACTGGACACTGCCCTTTTGCCATTGGAAGGAAGTGTGTCTTGATGCATTCCTGGTTTTACCATCGAAAGCCAGCCACAGTGCTTACTGGACCACAGTCAGAGATTGTTCAATCAATACTTGCTGTGCCAAATCCCAGAGAATTATTTCTGGTAGTATTCTCCAATCTGTGGCCAGATGGTGCTAAACGATGTTGGCCCCACAGCTGTACTTGGTTCTCAAGGATGGTGGCCCTGTGGTCAACTCTGCTTTAAAACTGCCCTGGTTCCACTCTGCAGTGGCATGAAACCAGGAGCCTGAGGGTCCTCCCAGAGCTGGGAGAATGGGCAGTGATTGCAGATCCCTCTCTTGAGACCCATGTAATATGCTTGAGTGCCTTGTATAGCTTCCATGCCTGTGCCTACAGGATAAGAGGCATGTGAATTCTTATTTATGTAAGGCAAAAAAAAAAAAAAACCTGAGATGTTGAAGGAGCCAAGATCCCTAGGGCAATAAGCCGGCTAGCACATCTGCCCTACTGTAATTTGAAAGCCCAGCCTCTCAGGTAGGCAAGGTCTAATGTATGCCGGTCTGATTTTGTTGAGTTCTTTTTGGTTAAAAAGATTGTGAAGACAAAAATTAGAGGAAAAAAATACATAAACTCTCTATCCTTCCAGGCTTTACCCAAAACCGTTGGACTCCTTATATACTAACACTTCCACTTCCTGCTTTTTTAACTCACTATTTTGCCACCCTGCTACACAGGCCTCAGTAAACACAAGTTGTTCGACCATCCATTAAGACTGCATTCATTTCTTCACTGTTATTTTTCAATGAACATTTTCTGCATGTGATTTTTTTTCTGGACTGTTTGTTTAACATAAAGTTAAAGAACTAGAATTACTGAGTAGGAACTTTTAAATGACTCTATTACTAAATTGCTTTCCAAAAGAGTTATACTGATATATGTTGCCATCAATAGTAGATACCTGTCAGATCCCATAAAACTTCACCAGGATTTTTTGTTTTTTGGGGTTTTTTTTTTGGTGGCTTAAAATACAAAATGATAACATGGTGGTGGTGTTATATGGGCTTCTTTGATTTCTAGCAATTTCCATTCCTTTATTGATTCATGCATTCAATGATGGATATGTTTATTGAATGCTTATTCTGTGCCAGACACCATTCTAGGCACTAGGACACAGTGAGCAAAACATAAAAATCCTAACCCCTGAAGAAGTTACTTAATATATATATTTTTTCTGTACTCTAGCAACCACATGGCTTGTTAAGAGTAGGGGCAGGGCACTCAGGCAATTTCCATGCACACATTTAATTCATACAGCTTAGTGCTGCAGAGGCTTCACAAAACCCTTTTTTCAGGTGATGAAGTGCAGGCTTGCCTTGCCTGACGTCCCTCACTGAACACAGAACCCTGGGTCCCCAGTCCCTGACTATTCGGCACTGTTCACCCTCCCTGCATAGAGGAAAGTCAGGCAGAGCTCGAGGAAGACTGGGCTGGTCACTGACCAAAGTGCCAGGGTGTGAGGGGCACCATACAACCCTGTCAATCTCCAGAAGGCCACAACTACGCCTTCCCAGAAACAAACTCTCCTCCAGATAAAAGTCAAATAGTGAAAGCTGTCTGTTTCCAGGGCCACTAAGGGCTAGCTTGCTAGGGTAGCCGATTCTGTCCTGCCTGGATGCAAGCTGGAGGATTCTTGATCTCCAGCCTAAGTGGACCACCTATTCCAGTGTCTAGTTCTGAACCTGCCAATTCTATAGCTCCCGGCCTAAGTGGACCACCTATTCCAGTGTCTAGTTCTGAACCTGCCAATTCTATAGCTGTGCTTTCTCTTGAGAAATAGAGTCTCAAAAACATCAAGAATATTCTCCATAACTGCGGTTAAGCATTACAGCCCATAGGATGTGTCCTGCCAAATGCCCTCACATCTGTGCTTGGGGTGGGAGCAAGAGGCATCCCCTGTGGTGTGGCCTGCCTGAGAGGTTACGATTTCAAATCACAGTAGGGCAGATGGGCTAGCTGGTTTATTCCCCTGGGGATCTTAGCTCCTTCGATATCTCTTGTGGTCTTTTTTTAAATTTTAGCCTCACACAAGTAAGAATTCACACAGCTCTTATTGAAAACCTAGAAAATGAATACAAACAAAAAAAAGGAGGCCAGGTGCGGTGGCTCACACCTGTAATCCCAGCACTTTGGTAGGCCTAGGCCAGCAGATCACCAGGTCAAGAGATTGAGACCATCCTGCCCAACACGGTGAAACCCCATCTCTACCAAAAATACCAAAATTAGCTGGGCATGGTGGCACACTCTTGCAGTCCCACCTACTTGGGAGGCTGAGGCAGGATAATTGCTTGAACCCTGGAGGCGGAGGTTTCAGTGAGCCGAGATTGCACCACTGCATTCCAGCCTGGCAAGAGAGCGAGACTCTGTCTCAAAAAACAAAAAGTGTAAATAAACACTGAGAGATGGCTACTGTGGACATTTTGCTGTACCTCTTTAAAGGTATTGTGTATGCATGTGTGTATATAGGACAAGAAATAGATAGTGCTATGGTCTGAAAGTGTACCTCCAAGATTCACACCTTGAAACTTAATTGCCAATAGGTGAAGAAGCCGTGAGGGCAGAGCCCTTACAAGCAGGAGTCATCACTTTCCAAAAGATGTGTGAGGGAGCTAGATGTTCATGCTTTCCACCATGTGGGGATGCAGCAAGAGGCACCATCTGTGAAGCAGAGGGAGCCTTCATAGAACCGAATCTGCTGACACTCTCAACTTGGACTTCTCACGCTCCAGAACTATGAGCAATACATTTCAATGGTTTATACATTCCCCAGTCTGAGGTATTTTGTCATAGCAGCTCAAATGGACTAAGACAGATGGCTGGTTAGCTAGATATGCAAAATGGGACAATTACATTGCATACTTTTTGTAATATCCTTCTTTTCTTCTCAGGATTCTACAGTGATCATCTTTCCATGTTCTTGAATATCTTTCTACAATGTTTGCATGGGTGCATGGTATCTGTGGAATGGAAAACTAGCATATTCATCCAGGTCACTTCACCAACACTTATTAAGGAAAGTGTATCTGACAGCTTTATCCAAAAAGAAAGATTAATTTCAATCAAGAGCCCTGTAATTTTGTTCCCAATTTTCATGGGACCAAAAAAAAAATGCTGATGATGGTTACTGACTAGTAAATTTGTTTTTTGGAAGGGTCTAATTTTCATACACAGTGGATTTGCCACGGAAACACTGAGGATGTGCACAAGAGCCCTCTTGGATCTAGAAAAGGGAAGAACTTCGAAAATGCATCACACTGCTTAGGTACTAGTGAGTTTACTAGTGGGGGGATATCATGTTGTCACCACAGACAAAATATGCTTGTTCCTTACTAATCTGTTTGAGTAAACCAGTGCCTTGGACTGATGCCCTTTTTCCTTGAGGAAACAGTGTCTCTTGATAAGAAAAAAAAATCCTTTTTTTTTTTCTGTCTTTCTGCAAAGAACATGACACTCCAACATTGCTACAAAGTGTTTGTGTTTTGTTTCAATCTTTCTCCAAATGCAAGTATAGATGGAACATGAATTTGGAGTGAAAAGTAAAGTTTGTACTTGTTTTGAAAATATCTTTAAAAAATAAGAGTTTTTGAACAATGAAAGTATTGATAAAATCACGCGTCTGAAGTTAAACACACTCTCAATCACCTCACTCATGTTTCCTGTTTTGGTTAACACATTTTAATTGACTTCAGTCTTCCCACTGCCGCTCTTCCACCTGCAGCTCTGGACTGAGCGCCATGCATTGTCTGGGAACTCAGAGCCGGGAACTTCCGGCAGAGTCTGGAATTGTTACCTGTTGATGGGTACGAACCATCTCCACCAGTTCTTATGAGAAGCTGCCTAGCAGAGAATTCAATGTAAACCTGAGCCAGCTTAGCTAGCTCATACAGACAACTGCGCTGCTTATTCCTCTGGGCCACTGGTTATTACCCCTGGTTGTTCATTAGTCATCAGGGGAATTTTTGAAAAGTATGGGAGCCTGTCCACATCCAGGGATTTGGCTCTAATGGGTCCTCAGTGAGCCAGGACATTGGTTTGGATTTTGCTGGTGTAGTTCCCCTCTTCAGGAGTTTTGCTCTGGAACATGCTGCATTTTCCCAGGCCCAGTGCAAAGAAGAATGTCCTCCATGGATGGTTGATCAGAATTTAAGGGATTGTTTGTTATGCTGCTTTACTACCTGACTGTTCACCTAGTCTTTTTTTTTTTTTTAAGGTAACATGTGAAAAGTTTATCTCTCTGAAAAAATAGATACAACAATGTTAATGATAATAGCAGTTGTGGCTCATGGAGGGGGTTCCATTGGCAAGCCCTGGCTCCCTTCAGTCAAGGCTCACCAGCTGGTAAGGCTGGACTTCCATTTTCCAGTAGATACAGGAGCATGGTGAGCTAGAATCACAATGGCAGAAACTGCTGTCATCAAGCTTAGAGATACACTCTGTCTTTCTCCTGCCTCCGCATGGTCTTTAATAGTTTTTTTTTTTGTCTTGATGGAAACAACATATTTCTGTAATACATTCATTAAAGCTGCTGCTTATCCTCTTTGGAAATGAACAGAGACTACATTGCAAATAAACGTATTTATTCCCAAATTGACATAAATAACATAACAATGTTATGTATCATTGGATTTCTCAAGGCAAAAACGGGAAATCTCTTTGGTGTGGATGAGTTTCCAAAGATGGTCACTGTCCATTCATTCTTTCCTCTATGCACTTGGCACTACCCACTGAGAGGTGGAATCTACCCCATGCCCACCCCTGCCTCTGGCCCTGAGCCTGGATGGGCCCTGGAACTGCTCTGCCTGAGAAAATCCTGTAGGACTACATTCTGAGACTTTTGAGCCAAGGCCTTAAGTGAACTGGCAGCTTCTGCTTTCTTCCTTCCTTTGGGCCCCAGCCTCCATAAGAAGCCTGGGCCGCATACAGAGGCATGTGAAAGAGAACCTAGGCACCATGGGGACAGCCCCAGCATGAGTTGGGGTCCCAGCCAGCAGGTAGCACCTACCATCAGCCACATCAAGGGGGACTGCTTGGAGGCTCCAGCCCAGTTGAGGCCCAAATGACTGTAGCCCCCGCCAATGTCACATAAAAAAGGAAACTTGCCAAGGAGTCAGCCCACAGAAATAATAAAATGACTGTTGTTTTTAACCACTACATTTGGGGATGGTGGCAATAGATTAAAAACAACAATGACAATAAAACACTTGGTGCTGTGGCTCGCTCCAGGTTATAGCAATTGTATGAATCAGGGTTCTCCAGAGAAAGAGAACTAATAGGATGGAGAGGGAGTGAGAGAGCACCTGAAAGCTGCAGGGGAGGCTGATAGGCTGGAACTTCTGGCAGGAGTTAATGTTGCAGCCTTGGATCCTAAATCTAGAAAACTCGGGCAGGATTTTTGTGTCGTAGGCTGGAGGAGAATTCTCACTTCCTTAGAGGACCTCAGTCTTTCTCGTCAGACCTTCGACTGATGGAATGAGGCCCGCCCATGTTAGAGGGCTAATCTGCTCTCCTTTACTCAAAGTCTGTTGATCTCAATGTTAATGACATCTAAAAAATGCCTGCACAGAAACATGGAGACTGGCATTTGACCAAACAGCTGGGTACCATGGCCTAGCCAAGCTGACATATAAGGTTAGCCACCGCAGCAGTGAACCCTGGGAGTTGCCCTGGCTTTCAGGCCTGCACGCGGGGCCATCACTCCTCGGCTACTGCTGGAGACAATAAACGAACGGGACACGCCCAGGGCCAGCCACGAGCCAGGTGCCATGGGACAGCCTAGCTTCAGTCCCTCCAGTGGAGGAAAGATAACCACGGTCAGCACCATCTCCACTTCCCTCTGGGTGAGTTCAGCCCTGAAAAGAGAGGAGGGGGATTTGCTCGCTTCTACACCAGAGATGTAAGGAAACCCAGATTCTGAACTCACCCCTCAAAGTGAGGAAAGTGAGGGCCAGGTGGGACTCAAGCTGGCCACTCATAACTAAATGGTGCTTTGTACCAAATGGCCATTTCTACCGTTCCCAGGTTGCTGGTGATACTGAGCTGCTTCTAGAAAGGGATGCCCAATTTAGTTTTATGTGGAATTTAGTTTCAAGGACAACTAAATAAAAAAGAGCAACTCTGTACAGCGTTTGTAAAAATAGACAACTGATGGACTGCTCTCTCCTCTGGCCTGGTCCTCTTCCAGCCCCCTGACCCCCTTTCATCAGACTGGTCTTTTCAAAGCACGATTCTGATCATACGATTCCCTTGCTGAAAATCCTTTCTTGGCACCTTGTCGCTCATGGCAGTTTCTCAAAATATGATGTGTGACACATCAGGTGGCTTTAGGTGGCATACAAGTGGATGCTGTTTATTTTGATAGTGACATTTTGGTTTTTATGGTCATCTTCTATTTAGGACAAGTAACATGGTTTTTCATTTTTAGTAGTGGCATTAAATGGGTTTACTTCTCCGTTGGTCTGAAGAACAGTGTTGGGTTAACAGCGATTTGGATGGTGGGAAATGGCAGAATCCCAGAGATGGACTCAGCCGTGGGGAGTAGCATGGCCTGGGGGCCCTGCCAGGTCTGCCTGCTGCCTCCTCTCCTTTCGTCTCTCCACTGGAGGCCTCACCTTGATCTCCCACGTAGCAAAGAGCCAGCAATTCCCAGGACCACACCTCATGACATTGCTAATCTCACTGTCTGGAATGCTCTGCCCCCAAGCCCCACTTCATGGAAGATTCCTATTTATCTTTCACATCCCAGCTCGGGAGTCACTGCTTTCACGAGGCTTTTTCCAAATTGTTTCCTTCCATGGTCCCTGCAGCACAGACCTTCCCCTGTGTGTCTCCCACCAGGAATAGGGACTGTGTTGGGGATGTCCTCAGAAGCTTGGATACTTCTGCAGGCCTCAGGATGGGAGGAAAAGACCCTGTCACACTGCTGGATGGGCACTGTCAGCTGATGTCTGAGGGCAGGGTATAAAAGGCGGCTACCTGCTTTTTGACATAAGTGCCAGGGCAGCTGGGCGCTGTCTGAAAGGGTCCTTTCCCAGGCCCAATTTCCCAAACCCAGGGAGAACACCTCCCATTTTCCCCACTCCCCTCCCTGCCCCCTAACTTCTATTTTCCAGAGAGTGAAGACAAGAAGAGGCCTGTGTGTGATATGTCAGAGTGCCTCTCCCAGCCCCGTGTTTCCCTCACAGCAGGGAGATCCTTCCTGTACAGCCCCCTCCAGAAGGAGCCAGATCAGTATCATTGTTTGCACAGAGAGATACCGTCCTACTGTGATTGCCAGTGATAGCAGTATGGGTTGTGGAAAGCGGGGCAGGGGGGCAGGGGGCGGTCTGGACTGGGACTCTGCCTGCTCCATAGCTTCTGTCATGTGGAGCAAGAGTGTCACAAGCTGTGGAGCATGGGGCTAGTCCCCTTACGTGAAAGTGGGAGGCAGACAGGGTTCTGGGGGTTTCCGGTTTCTGCGCCTTGACACCTGACAGGCAGCTGGTCTCAAAGTTCAGTTCTACCACTTAGGACTACAATAGCTGGGCTCTGGCCCTTGGCTGCCTGTCTGTGAAGTGAGTGTCTGGATGGACACTGGTAAGCTCTCCGCATGTGTAGCTTTGCTTTCTTTTTGACTCTGCCCTTCCTTTGCTGCAGGGAGAGGGACTGTCAGCCAAGGGTGCGCCCATCAACTGGCTGACCAGAGTCTATGCCCCCAGCCACAGTGATTAGCCTTCGAGTGGCCCAATTACAGGCCTCTTTGGGTAACTGGTGTGAGCCCTGGGAGAGAGATCTCTTATTTTGAACTTGAGAGTGTAAGGATGAGGCAAGAAATAAATCTAGAGAATAAAGTGAGCACAGGAGAAAGTACTGCTGAGGAGAGAGGAGGACAGAGGAAGGAAGGAGGGATCTGAACCCAGGAACACAGCCCCCTCTGCTTGGGGTGAGAAATCTTACTTACATTGGGGCTTAAGGAATCAGTGGATGGGAAAGAAAGCATTTAATTAGATGCTTGGCCAGAGTAGCCCAAAAAAGAATGGTCCCCAATGCCACTGTCTCCCAGTCTGCCTGGAAAGACAGGCAGGAGCAAGTGGTTCTGTCACTGTTCAGAGTCTCAAAGAAAGCCTGCCTCTCCACTGAGGGGTCACCCTGGTGCCCTTGAATTATGGCTGGGCATGGAGAGTCCCCGGGGCTGTGGTTAGGGTGCTGTCGATGCCATCTGACACCTGTAGAGGCTGATGGAGGAAGCCAGGCACGCTGTGAAAGAGGGCATGGATATTCTAGTACTTTCTACAGAGAAGCTGTTTTCACTGTAGGCTGCCAAGCTGGGACTGGGCTGCTCTGTCAAGTGGAGAGAGGCCCTCCTCCCAGCTGCTGGAGGAAAGGCCATCCAGACTTTTGTTCTAAGCTGGTTCTGGACCTGTGGGAGTTCTCGAACTTCCTGTAGCCTCAGCCCCTCCAGAAGTGCTCCTTTCTGGCACATGGGAGAAAAATAGAAAATGCATAGCTCCCTGCTCTCCTCTTTATTTTGCTCTACAGTTTAAAAATTAATATATAAATCACATAGAATAAAATCTGTATGTAAAAAGCAAGTTTATGTGTGGCCCCATGCAACCATCACCCACACCAGGATCCAGAGCATTTCTGCCACCCCAAAGGAGAGAGTCCTCTCCTGTCCCATCCAGCAAACCCCCCTCCTCAGGGGTAACCACTACACTGACGTCTATCATCACAGGTTAATTTTACCTGTTCTTATACTTCATAGAAATGGAATCATACACATGCTTTTTGAGCAGTTTCTTCCATCCAGAATGTTTTTGAAATTCATCCAAGTTTGTGTGTCAGCAGTTTGTTCCTTTTCATTGCTGAGTAGTCTTTCATTGTGTGTCTACACAGTGACAGTCACATGTCTCATTGTGATGTGGGTACACTCTGAGAAGTGCATCATTGGGTAATTTTGCGTTGTGTGAACATCGTAGAATGTACTTGCACAATTCACGGTAGATGGTGCAGCCTACCACACACCCAGGCTGTATGGCCTCTTGCTTTTAGGCTACAAACGTTTGCAGCATGTTATTGTACTGAATAGTGTAGGCAATTGTAACTCAATGGTAAGAATTTGTGTATCTAAACATACCTAAAAGTAAAAAAAGGTATGGTAAAAATGTGGTATAAAAGATAAAAATGATATGCCCGTATAGGGCACTTCCATGAATGGAGCTTGCAGGACTGGAAGTTGCTCTGGGTGAGTCAGTGAGTGAGTGGTGAGTGAATGTGAAGGCGTAGGATGTTATTGTGCACTACTGTAGCCTTTATAAACAGTGTGCACTGGGGTGATAGGAATTTTTCATTCCATTATAATTTCGTGGGACCATGATTATGCAGTGCTGACTGTATTACATTTGGATTGTGTCTAGATAAACATTTAATAGGAATTTGGGTTGTGTCTTGTTTTAGCTTTTACAAATAAAGCTTATGAGCATTTTGATGGATATTTGCACATACTCCTCCTTGATAAAAACCTGGAGTAGAATTCCTGAGTGACCTGAGAGGTGAATGTTTAATTTTGCTAGAAAATCCCAAACATTTGTCCAATGTTACTGGATCATTTTGCATTTCTACCAGCAGTGAGGGCTCCATTTGCTCTGTTGACTTTCCAACATTTGGTATAGTCAATCTCTTTAGACACTTAAATGGGTGTGCTATGGTATCTTTTTGTGGTTTTAATATGCATTTCCTTGACAAATAATGGTTTGAGAACGTTTTCATGTGTTCATTGGCCGTTTAGATACCCTCTTTTGTGAAGCACTTGGTCAGTCAAGTCTTTTGCTTATTAAAAATTTTTTTCTTGCCAGAATAAATTGGGATGTTTATAAACTTTTCTACAGGCAGCAGTATGGAAATTACTAGGAGTTATACTGTTATTACTTTTGATTATTTGCATTAAGACCATAAGTTTTCAAATGAGTGGTACAAAAGATAAGAAACAAAATTGTGTTAAAAATCCTTGAGGCAATCAAGTATCAAAAATGACACTAATTTATTCTATAATGAAGGGAAGAAATAAGATATAGTTTAAGCATGATCTGAGATAAGAATTTTAATTCTTTAACTAGGCAAAAGATCAAAAGTTAATCCAAATAATTTTCAGATACAGAATACCATTTGTGGGGTTTTTTGGTTTTTTGTTTTTTTTTTTTTTGAAACAGAGTTTCGCTTTGTCACCCAGGCTGGAGTGCAGTGGTGTGATCTCGGCTCACTGCAGCCTCTGCCTCCAAGGTTCAAGCAATTCTTTTGCCTCAGCCTCCCTAGTAGCTGGGATTACAAGTGCCCACCACCACGCCTGGCTAATTTTTGTAGTTTTAGTAGAGACAAGGTTACTTCATGTTGGTCAGGCTGGCCTCAAACTCCTGACCTTAAGTGATCTGCCTGTCTCGGCCTCCCAAAGTGCTGGGATTACAGGCATAAGCCACCATGCCCCGCCCCACTTGTGCATTTTTAAGGTCCATTATAGTAGCTACATTTGCAGAAAATGAACAAAATTCTGAGATATAATATCAAATGGAATTTGACAAGCAGCTCGTAATACCACTTTTATTTAGCATGCGTTAGACACGTACAGTGCAGGTGAGGATCACTGTTAGGTGTCTGCTCGAGACAGCACCATCAGCAAGCATGCATCAAATCCCAAAGTACTTTCTCTGTGGGGCTTCTTGAGTTTTCTTTGCAGCCGTTTTTCTTTTTCCTTATTTGTTGGTGTTCTGCTAGAACCAGGTTAAATTGAATTTTGTCTTCACTATACTTTAATATTCTTTTTCTGAGCTGGCATCACCAGACACAGTTGTCTTGATTGCAGGACTCTAAATCCATTGGTCCTCCCCTTAATCTACCTAATTCACACAACCTTTCAGCCACAGGAGCACATCTCGCAAGATGAGAAGTGTCTTTCCTAGTAGCTGCAATCTGCTTGAACTTCAGACATTTGCTGCCTGGTAAAGATATTGCGAGTTTGCTGAATCACTGCTGTGTTGCTCATAGCTGCGTCCCAACTGTGAAAATTACTCAGTCTCTGATCATGTCTCTCCTTGGTGGGTACAGGTCAATAGCACACTTGGTATGATTGTTCATTTTAAGAGTCATATGTGGGCAAACATTATTCCAGATGTTTCTGTAGGTGTTTTGGATGAGATTTTTACATTTAAATGGATGGGCTTGGAGTAAAGCAGATCACCCTCCATAATGAGGATTGGCCTCATCCAATCAGCCGAAAGACTGAATAAATAAAAAACTAAGCAAGAAGAGATTCTGCAGCCTATGGCTTTCAGACTTGAATTGCAACATTGACTCTTCCTGGGTCTTCAGGCTGCCGGCTCACCCTGCAGATTTTGCACTTGCCAGCCTTCATAATCATGTGAGCCAATTCTTTAATATAAATTTCTTCATATACCTACATATACAGTCACAAACTGCATAACAACATTTTGGTCAATAATGAATCACATATATGATGGTGGTGTCATGAGATTATAATAGAGTTAAAAAATTCCTATCACCTAGTGATTTCATAGCCATCATGACATCCCAGCGCAACATATTACTCAACAAGGCCGTGGTTGAGATGGCAAACAACGGTTCCTGAGAAACTGACTAATGAGGAGCTGTTTGAACTGGAACCAGAACCCATAGCCGAAGAAGAAGCAAGAGAAAAGAAACTGCAGAAGAAAAGAAGAACCCCCAAGAATATTCATCATAAAGCATTTGGCAGAAGCTTTTGCTGACCTGAACTTTTTCTTTAAAAAGTTTGAAAAAGTGACCCCCGACACTGAAAGGTTTTTATGAACAGAGAGGAATGTTCATGATGCATTATCTGCCTACAAACAAGTCTATGATGAAAAAAGAACCAAGCAAGCTGCTATGGACATATTTCGAAAAAGAAAGACACCGCCTCAAGAAGAGCCTCAGTCAGGTCCTTCAGGCAGTGTTTCAGAAAAAGGCATTGCTATCATAGGAGATGACAGCTCTGTGCACGTTTTTGTCCTGAAGACCCTCCAGTGGGATGAGATGTGGAGGTGGAAGATACTGATATTAATGATCCTGACTCTCTGTAAGCCTATGCTAATGCGTGTTTGTGTCTTAGTTTTCAACAAAAAAGTTTAAAAATTAAAAAGAAAAACATTTTTAAATAGAAAAAAAAGCTTGTAGAATAAGGATATAGAGAAAGAAAATAGTTTTGTGTTTTTGTTTTAAGCTAAGTGTTATTACAAAAGATTCAAAGTGTTAAAAAGAAGTTTAAAGTTTATGAAGTAAAAAAGTTACAGTAAGTTAGGGCTACCTTATTATTTAAAAAATCTTTTTCAAAATCTAGTGTGGCCTAAGTTTACAGTGTAATGTCCTAGGCCTTCATGTTCACTCACTGAAGTGCACTATACAAGTGTGCAATTTTTACTTTTTTATACTGTCGTCTTACTGTACCTTTTCTATGTTTAGCTATGTTTACATAGACATAAACCTACCACTGTGTTATAATTGCCTATAGTATTCAGTACAGTAGCATGCTGTACAGGTTTGTCGCCTAGGAGCAGCAGGCTATACCACATAGTCCAGGTGTGTGGTGGTCTATGCCATTTAGGTGTGTACAGATACACCCTATGATGTTTGCACAACAATGAAATTGCCTAAGGACACATGTCTCAGAATGTATCCCTGGTGTTAAGCAATACATGACTGTATATAGACACATCTTTTGATTCTGTCTCTTTGGAGAACCCTGACTAATATAC